ATCTGAAGACTAACTTTTGAACTTATTGGACATTATTGGACGTTCTTGGACGCTTTAGGGCGTTTGATATACAAACTATTTCAAATCAACTATGCAAGTTTTAAATTACTTTATTAACATATTATTCATCTTTTTAGACACATGTGAGGCTCTAGTTACCTTAGTTCATTTTGAGGGTCTTGACATGGAAAAAGTTCATCTTATTAGAGATAGACTAAAGACATATTATAGTTATTAGAAGTCATAATAATATGTGAGGATGAGGGACATAGAGTTTGAGATTGATTATTGTGTTTTTATGAAAGTTTCACCTATGAAGGGTATGATAAGATTTGGCAAGAAAGGGAAGCTCAATCCCAAATATGCAGGTCCCTACAAGATCTTGAAAGATATTGTTAAAGTGGCTTATGATTTAGAGTTGCAAGGAGATATAGAAGCAGTCCATTCAGTCTTTCACATTACCTTGTTGAAGAAATGTGTGAGTGATCTAGCATCTATAGTGCCATTAGAAAGTGTGGCTGTGAAGGATAGTCTCACTTATGAATAGGTGTCCGTTGAAATTCTTGATCGTTGGGTTGAAAGGTTGAGAAACTAAGAGGTCTCTTCAGTTAAGTTTTTGGGGAGGAGTCAATACATAGAGGGAGATACTTGGGAAGCAGAAGTAGTTAGGCCAAGTATCCTCATCTATTTTCTTTTGATTGCATTCTAGTTTCAGGTAACAGTTCCTCTCTAGTCTCTCATTATAATGGCCCAAGGGTATACCCTAGAAGAAATGGTATCCTTAAGTCGATACACAGCGTACTCGACCTCTTGGTGGTCTTGTACAAGCCCTTAGACATCATTATTCGCATATAAACATGAAAACTAGTGCGGAATTAAAAAATTTCACAACAATCTCTCAATATCTATTTTATAGAAAACAATAGAAATTGCTAAGTTTCATAGTAGCCATCTTAGACTCATGAATATATCTTTGGGTCATATCCATACATATATTTACTATTTCGTAAGCTATTTTTGTATCATGTGGTGTTAATTGGCTTGAAGAACATTTCTTCCACATCTATTTCAATAACGGATGAAGATCTAGTCATAGAAGCCCATGTTAATCAACCTCAAACTACTCATAAATTTGTTGAACAACCAGTCTCTTATATTAATGTGGAGTTAGCCATGATAAGGTTGATGTAGAGGCTGAAGAAAAATACATACAGAAACAGAAGGACAAAGAAGTAAAAAAACCAGATACATTAATTTAAAGTATCAAATACTCATTAAGGTGTCTAAAAGTTTTTGATACATTATACCAATCATTCAAGTTCATCTTGGATCTCATGATACATTCATAAGTGTATTATTTACATTATGTTTAAATTTCAAATTTTTCTTATTCACATCTAACGTAGTATGAGTTCACAATGTTGATTCATTATTATTTGATTCATATACTAATTTACATAGGATACTAATACACTGAACAATCAAAGAGGCAGAGAAAGTGTATCAGAACCTCCATCCACATGAGATTTTCCTGTTAAAGGAAATCAATAGTATATGTTTATAAATACATATATATATATATATACATACATACATACATATATATATATATATATATATATATATATATATATATATATATATATATATATATATATATATATATAGATATATATTCATTTAAAGTATCAATATTCTTAGAAGTCTATCTCACTTTCTTATAAATTAGTTCAATCATACACACTCAACTTGAATGTTATGATACATTCTTAAATTTGTTAGATAGATTATCTTCAAACATCAAAAGAATCATATTCACAACGGATGTAGCATAAGTTTCAAAAGTCGATAAATTATTATTTGACTGAAATCCTAATACACACAGGGTGTTGACTCAATAAAGGAACAAAGAGACATGAAGCTTGTATCCAAGGAAGTTATTGTAAATACAACTTTATATATATGAAATATTACTCATTGAATGGATCATTATAACAAAATAATTTTTATAACTAATTAGGACAATGAAGTAAAGTTCGCACCAAAACATCTAAACAATTAACTGATAAATTACAACATAATATCCAAATTCCAAATAAAGTATCAGTACAGATTGACATCGATAAATTTCAAATATATTCAAGGCGTGCTTATTGAGTATTGAATAATATAATTTTTTTATTTTTACTCAAAGAAATATAGGATTCGACCAATCGATATCCATTTCTTATGGAAACCAAGAAGCTATAGAAGCACTATTCTCTGGCCTTCAGACTATTTGATTGTTCAATGATTGAGTATTGTCAAGTATAATATATCAAATGAAACACACCAATTGTTGCCGGACAGTAACTTACCGATGGAAATATTAAGAAATGAAATTGTCTCGTATGAACAAACAGAGAGCCCTGTTCAGCGAAATATGATGTCATTACAGATTTTGAAATTACCCGATTTGACTGAATTTGGATCCTGTGACAAAGGGAAATAGAAGTTAATTTAGATGTTTGACCAACCGCACATTCAACAGATGTTGTATTTCTTACCAACCTTAGTTTCATTTATTGAAAGAATATTGTGGATTTCAAAAGGCCTCCTTAAAACTCATGATAAGTAACACTTTGATATTTTTATATGGCAATATATCATATTGTTTTAACTTGTATTGAATTGTTATATCCATACAGAAAATCAAAAGATGATAAATACATAGTCAAATCATCTTCATTGAGTTTTAATACATGGACTTTGTAGGTTCTTTTCCAACGGACAAAAAATAGTTTTAAGGCATATCTCGCTAAAAACGTTGAACATATGAGGTATGATGAAAAGATAAATTATGTACATTTATGATACATTTGATATGTTGTATCAATATAGTATTTATAATATAGAGAAAAGACATAAAATCATCACCGAAGTTGTCCCGAATTTTTAAAAAGAAACCTTAACTTTGTGGGTGTCCTATTACCCCATTGAAAAATTTCACAATAGTATATACACCCCATTTTTCAGCCAATACCACTTATACAAAAATATTTGTAAATCACGCACTAATAGTCACGTGACACGTGTTAAAAGTAATTTTTAATTATTTTTGTATAATTTCTTTGATTTTTCTTTTTCTTTTTCCTTTATTTTTCTTTTTTTTTCCTGGTTCTCTTTCTTCTTGGTCTCAATCCTATATCTTCTCTCATTTCTTCTTCTAAAAGAAAAGTCGCTAAACCCAGTGTTGTGGGAAGGAATTTTCCAGCAGCATTATTGATTTTTTGTTAAACTACCACCAATTAATTTATTTATGAAAATAAATATCATAAAATATTCAAAATATCACTAAGTCAAAATCTGACATTTAGATCACCTCCTTCTCCAACTTCTTACTCCCAAATCGAGTTTTCCATAGTTTCACTATTCCCAAATTTCAAACTTGATTTGTAGGAGGAATAAAATCACCAAACTAATTTGTTATTTAAAATAAAAAAAGAACAAGAATGAACACAATAACATTAGTTTAGAAAAAAAATGAAAGAAGACATAGATGCTCGAGAAACATGGGTAAGCTAATGATGGAAGGGAAGATGAGAAAGAAGATTTGAAAACTAAAAACTATTCCTAATAAAGCTTTAAAAAAAATTAATACATGGATTTTGTATTTTTTTCAAAATAAGTCAAATTGGGAGTGCCACATGGCAATTTTACGTTGGTCTGAAGTTGTATGAATAGTCCTTCACGTGCTCAAATTTCATGACAATACGACTGGTGTTAAAATTAATCAAAAATGTATATTTAACTTGGATTTAGATAGTTTCGTGCGGTAATAGTACACCCACAAAGTTAAGGTGTCTTTTTAAAAATTCGAAACAACTTCAGTGGTGACTTTATGTCTTTTCTCTATAATATATAAATATCAAATCATACAATATACATTATATTAATGAGTGATTTTTGTGCTTTATCATATTGACTAAAATTTTATTTTATTTTTCATTTACGGCAGTACATCAATGTAGTTTTTAACTACTTAACGAAGAAGCCAAAACTACGCAGCCCCAAATTTAGCACAGTCAATTGTTTATTCAGTACATATGTCAATGATGCAAACACAAGGTACCGCAACATCCCTCTTGATGATAATTTAATTACACATGAGAACATGGCGTGCGGGACAGTTGTATATGCAATCGAGAGGTCAATTAAAAATATAATCAAAGAATTTTTCATCCCGGCTAGATTACTGTGGCATCTAGCTGATGATATATGCATTTTGGTGAATCCGATAGCACGTTCCATTGGGTGTTAGTTGTTGTTTAAAGAGAGGTTCATACGCATGTAGTATTCTTCATTGAGTACAAGAATAACTAATAAAATATTGTTAAAAGAGACCTAAAAAAGAGACCTCATGAGAACTTTTTTCCAAAAAAAGAGACCTCAGCGATAGGTCACTATAATGTAGGTAGCTTTTTGTAGGGACCTCATGAAGTCGCAAAATAGAGACCTCCCGAAATCTCCAATTTTTTTCCAAATTTTCTAAAAAGGGACCACATGTGGTAGCTAATTTAATATTATTTATTTATTTATTTATCAATAAAAGAGGCCGCATGAGGTCACTATTTTATTATTTATTTTTATTTTATATTTATAGATAGAGACTTCATGAGGTCTATATACTTATTATTTTGAATAGAGACCTAATGAGGTCTTTTCTATCATAACACAAAAGATAAATAGCGACCTCCTTGTCACATTATTTTGATGAAACGAGACCTTGTGAGGTCACTTTAATGTATTTCTAAGAATCAAATTGCAGAAATGTGACCTCATGAGGTCTTCCCTTAGCAATTTCTTAAAAATAAAATGCAGTGACTTGACCTGAAAAGATCTCTTTTCTAGAAAAAAAATTGGCACCTTATTAATGCTTTTGCAGCTTTCCACCTGTCATTATAATTCAATATATATTCTAATCAGCAAAATCAATCTCAATGAGCTGCCAACGATCGATCAATAACACAAAATAGATTTACTAATATTATGCTTCAACTCAAAGTAATTCAAATTCCAAAGAACAAACATAAAAGTCAGTTATATAATAGGATTTCAAAGATATCTAACATTAAATAAACACATAATAAGTCTCATAAAATAACCTTAACATAAAAACTTTAGGCTATCTAATGCAACTCTAATCTTCAATAATGTGGCATTGAGTTTTCCACATCTTCCACGTCATCTTCCTCACTACTAGACTCCTCCATCAAATCTCTTTGCTTACCATATGTTGGAGGTTGAGATTGAGAGGGTCGAGGAGGGAAAGGGACATCACTGGGACAAGGGATAATCCCTCCTGAAGCAGGTAATGCATCAAATTAAACCTTAAGACCCGCAAATTCTATGTCCCTCCTCCTTTCCCTAACCTATGAGGATTCAACTTGACTAGATAGCTTAGATATCGTATGCTTCAAATCAAGATTAGTCTTCCTCAATTCATCATCATGGGAACTAGATAGGCCTTCTAGCTCAGAATGAAATTCACGAAAGGCCCTTTGCGGCATGCCATAAGCATATCCATATCTAGTTGGACCACCAACATAGTCCAGCCAAATTCTCTCGTCCTGCTCTTGGCTAATTGACATGCCTTGGTTGTCTTCTGGTAAAGTTTGGTGGAAATCCTCCAAGGTTTGAAGATTTTGATTCTAAATTGAACGATAAGAATGTTAGAAAATAAATTTGAAAATAAAGTTATTATTATTTCAAATTAAGGAATACATAGGTCAGTTGAGCTCGTGGATCAACCCAAAGTTTGGATCTCCAGGATTTTTCTTCTTCCTTGTGTGTGTAAACTTGAATGCTTCAGCCTGAGTTACAGACCTTCCTAGTTCCTTTTCCTACAAATGAATCTAACTAAGTTATAATCAATAGTAATTGAATATTAATGCCTACAATGTACTTCATTAAGAAAAATGACGAGATTTTGCCTAAAATCATCTTTGCACTATATTCTTAACTTTAAGTTCATCCTCTTAATGTCACGGTTAATAGAAAACATCTTTCAAATATATAAACATTAAAAAACTCTATCCAATAGTTAAGACCATTAAAAATCTTATGGAGCGAGTTAAATTCACTAAAAATATCTTTAGATTTGAACACATCATTGAAAGTATCCACATTCTCTCATTTCTCTGAAAAATGAATTTTAACTTTCATTAGTTAAAGTGTGCTTCATATTCCTACCTACCATCTTAGTAAAATATGTGGAGCATCACTCTATTGTTACGATAGTTAAAAAGAGGGTCCTTTAACTGAGCCTCCACCTGAACCAACAATTCTTCTTGAAGCTAAACATGTGTCTTACACTTTTTGATCAAGAAGCTACTAAAATTGATAAATTTAAACTCGTTGAAATTAATGAAAATGATCCCTCCATCTTTGATTTAATTTTAAGAATAAAGCAATGAAGTTCAGATCTATATGATTCTGAGGGAAAGACACTTGAAGAACTTAAATTTATTGTTCAAGAAGCTATTAAAAATCAGACTTTACTACTGGAACAATAAAAATAGATTCGCCTAAAAAAAAAACCTTTCTGGGAAGTGCTACTAATGAAAGATTTATATGAGCAATGTCATTTTGTTCAAGTTTATTAGAGTTAGAGATTTTAAGGTTGAGGAGTAAATTTTTATGTTAAATAAAGACGAAGTGCTAAGATTCATATAGAAGAAAGAAGATTGACGATGACACATACCAGTTTTCTCCTCACATTTCCTTGACTATGTGCCCCGCTTGTGTGTAGAGAACCACCCTTAGTAGATGATCTCGACATCTTACCGATCTCGCTCATCTGCTTGAACCTTGCATTTGTCTCCCAATGTTCAACTAACTTTTCCCAATCCTCATATAGAATCCATCGAGGCTTCTTATCTTTTTTACGAGCTTTCAGAAACAAACTAGAAAGTAGACACCCAGCTTTCTTGTGAAGGTTTGCGAAAATTTGAGTCTCGTGTTCCGGACACCAAGCACACTTTTTCTGCAATGACAAGATACATTTCTATAAACACACATTATTGAAGACAATTATTAAAATAGAGTTAAAGCAATAAATTTTAATATATTCAAAACTCCAAAAAAATTGTCTTCTAAGATTAGTTGGCATCTTTCCTTAACTCGAAAATGAACCTATATAAAGATCTTTGATAGTGCAAGAAATGATCCTTACAGCATCATCTGGATTAAAACTATAATAAAAGTTTAAACACTTAAAGGTTAAAACTAAGAAAATTAAGAGATAATCTTAAACTAAAACTATTTTATAAGAAAATATATCATATGTGTAGCCGTCAGGCTCGATGACCAGTCTTTTGTATATATCCCTCACACCAACTTGTGTATGAGCCTGATCATGTGTGGCTGATTGATTTGTGATAGGAGTGTCAGGGCTGCTACCTTGAATGTGAAGACTAGACATCCCAAGATTTGAAATAGATGTTTATGAAGGTTGTGAGTTTGTTGGATGTGATTAACTGTACAAGAGACATTGGATGTCGGTCGCTGAGACTCGGGAGGCAAATGAGTGTATCCATTTGGGGTAGCATATCCGGATGTGGGCATAATCATAGGCACCTGATGCATATAGGTCGATGGAGATGAATCTATGGAGTCAACTGCATATAAGACGCAGTCTGCCTAGAACTTCAATGTACCGGAGTGTCTCGTGTTGGGAGAGATGGTGTGGAGTCTGATCTGATGTGTATGGCAGTCGATCGCCTAGTAATCATGCTATCTTTTTTCTTCTTCTTTTGGGGGGCATTATCAATAGCTTTATTCTTCCAGCCACCTGCCATCTAAGTAACCAAAGCATTTCAAGTCAGTAAGCATGATATAGAGACAACTATACATCACATATTTTCTGGTTCATGTTTCTTCAGAAGAATGACATGACAGTCATTCTGCATTTAAATTTCACAAGATTAAACACTTAAAATTGGTGTGCTTTAGGGAATCCAGAAAAAAATCTTTACAACATAAATGTGCTCAAAAACACAACATCAGTAGTTTTATCAATATGATAGTATAATTAGACTTTCTATATATGGATAAATAAAGTGAATCTCTAGCCTGTTAAATCAGTAAGACAGATTGTATAATGCAAGAGATATTTATGATCATCTAGTTTGTAATATCATATTATGACAAATATGATATGTTTCAAGATTTATGCTACGGACTATAAAAAATCACAATATATATTGATTTTCCTCCTCTCCTAACGACATATCAACATGAACTTGTCAAATTGCAACTCAAAAGGAAAAAATACAATTGGTAAAGATAAACCACAAGTTATTGAATGTTATTAAAATTAAGTTCACGAAAATAAAGTTGTTTGAAAATCTAAATATAAAAAATTGAACATGCTAATTGCTATTCCTCCTCATCCTCATTCTCTTCTTCTGACCATTCTTCATCTTCTGTCCATTATAATTCATCTGGCCATTCTTCCTCATCAATTGATTCATTTACCCCTTCATCTTAGTTCTTCTAACTCAACCTCTTCTAATATGTGTTCAGGATGCTCTAAATCATATTCGAACTAAGCATCCACTGTATGGTGAACACTTGATATGTCGTCATCTTGGTATGCGACATCCAAAACGTTTTCAACTTCTACATGCCTCATGGGTTTGGTTTTAATTACCACCCACCAATTTGATTTATTTGGACGCAAGGGATAACGAGCATAGTACACTTGTTTTACATTTTTTGCAATGATGAAAGGATCATATGCCCTATACTCTCTTGTGTGTCTTACTTCGATGATATTATATTATTTGATTTCTCTTGCACCTCTTTTGGGGGTCGGATCAAACCACTTGCATCGAAACATTACAAAAAAAATTTCTGGCCAACCAGAGTACTCCATTTCTAAAATCTCCTTGAGTACTCCATAATAATCAACTCCATCCTTATTCTATCACCACCTTTCACCCAAACTCCATTATTGTTAGTTTTTTATGTTTGGAGAATTCTCCAATATTTAATTTAAAACCATTTACAACATATTTATCCATTGTATAAATCTTAATGGGTCCCCAAGATATATCCTTCAAAAATTGATTGAATTTACCATTTTTGTGTCATAAACCTATAAATATTTGAGAAGTAGGAAATTATCATCAATAAAATATAAATCTTTCAAATAATTATATCATTATTACAATATTATAAGACTTACATAATTTTCAAATCATGTTTAATAATACTCAAATACTTTATCATTGCCATATAAATGCAGGAAGTAGCTGTCAAAGAGGATGAATATTGAGTTAGTTCATTTACATGGTAATTACATATTAAGTGCAAACTAATATCAACTTACTAAAGAAATTGTTTAACTTGTGGACAATTCAACAAGATATGTATCGATGCAGGCTTAAACTCCATTGCCTTAAGATCCTTCCTTGTACGTTTTTTTGAAGCTTTGTCTGGTTGATTGAAGATTGATAGTGGCTTTGCAAGAGGATTAGACTCACCACTATCGTCATGACGATTGGGTCTATTTCGCAAGCATGGCACATTAATATCAAAGTAATAAGAACCAAAATTAGTTATTTACCTAGCAAGATAGGCTTCAACCATTGTTCCTTCAAGTCTATGTTTTTGCTTCATACCCCGTTTAGACTTGCCAATAGTTCTACATAATATTATATCATAATTAATTTTAACAAAATATTGTTATATAGAAAAATATTAAGAGTTAAACACTTACCTCTCATATTGATACATCCATCTATATTCAACCGGGCCTCCGAGACGGGTTTCATGCACTAGATGCACAGGAAGATGCTCCATAACATCTCAAAATCCAGGTGGAAGAATCTTTTAGACCTTATTTGTAATTATAGGAATTTTGTTCCATCTGGACTAGGTTGTCTTCTTTCATAGTATTAGAACACAAGTCTTTGAAGAACAAACTAATTTCAGTCATAGGTTTCCAAATTCTATCAGGAAATCCACTAAATGCGATGGGGAGTAATGTTTCCATGAAGATGTGACAACCATGACTTTTCAAACCATATAACTTTCCATGCTCCATATCAACACGCTTCCCAAATTTGAAGCATGTCCATCAGGCATCTTAAGTTGCTCGACCTATTCACATAGTTTATGCTTTTGATCCATTGTAAATGAATAATTAGTCTTAGGCTTGAAGAACAACTTGTTCTGTTACTCCTACAACCATAAGTCTCTTCGCCTACAGTATTCTGGTAAGTCCATTATAACTTTAACATTATTTTTTGTCTTGTCAATGATATCCATTACTGTGTTAAATAGATTATCAAAGTAATTTTTTTTCGATATGCATGAGATCAATATTATGTTGAAGAAAATTATCCTTGAAATATGATAACTGCCAAAATATACTCTGTTTTGTCCAATTATGAGTAACACCATATCTATCAAATTTGTAAGGTTGTTGTTCTGTAAACTTGGAAGGTGTTGAACCCTCTCCCAAACTTGTTCTCCAGTCAATATTGGAGGTGGACATCCTCATTCAACAGTTTTCTTTTTGAATGCATTTTTCATACTCTTAAACTCATGGTCCATTGGCAAGTATTAACGATGACAGTCAAACCAAGATTTTTTTTTACCATGTTTTAAAGTGAATGATTTAGTATTTTCCATACAGTAAGGACAAGCTAACTTTCCAGTTGTCATCCACCCTAACAACATACCATACGCAGGAAAATCATTAATCATCAACATTAACGCAGCCCGCAAATTAATGCTTAAGAGACACATCAAATATTTCAACCCCTTGTACCCACGGTTGTTTCAATTCATATATCAAAGGCTGCAAGTACACATCAACCAAGACCTTTGGATTGCAGGGGCCAGATATGACACAATTCATAAATATATATGAACTTGTATTACACATCCCAAGTGGAAGATTACATGGTGCTAAAATACAGGCCAACAAGAGTAAGGTGCAGCAGAAACAGAATGTCGAGTGAATCCATCTGAACATAAACCTAATCTAATGTTCCCTGGTTCTACTGCAAAATCGGGATAAGTTCTATCAAAATGCTTCCAAGCATCTCCATCAGATGATGACACATAACACCGGGTGGTCTTCTGTTTTCATGGTGCCATCTCATATGAGGGGCAGAGCTATTTGATGCATATAACCTTTTTAACCTTGGTATAAGAGGTAAGTAACACATCATCTTAACAGCAACTTTTTTTACACTAGGAGCAAGCTTATACCTAGATATACCACAAAACTTACAGGATTCAAAATCAATATCATCCTTATAGTATAACATGCAACCATTCTCACAACAATGGATTCTCATCGATGACAGTCCTAATTTTGACACCAACCTCTTTGCCTTATAGAAATTATCAGGTATCTCTGGTTTTGGATCAACTAAATCATGCATAAGGTCAATCACAGAATCCATTGCCCCTTGAGAAACATTCCAATCTGATTTGATATTTAATAACCTAAGATCAATAGACAACTGGGAGTAAGGACTCCCCTCACATAAAGGCCGGCTAGCAGCTTCCAATTGTTCAAAGAAAATTCTACTTTTATCGTTGGGAGTTTCTTCAACATTATTATTACCAAATTCAAAATTAGAATGCACCCCATACGCATCCTGAACCATTTCATTCATTCTATAATTTTGTGTATTAGATTTCAACTTAGTACTAGTTTCACCAACAACATAGTTTTGAAATACATCAAAACTATTATAAATTTCTCCATGACTAGTCCATACTGTATATTCTTTTTTAAATTCATTTCGATAAGATGAAGCTCAACAATATCTGGTTTTTCATAATTCATATATTGACATTTGTTACAAGGACACTTAACCAAGCCATTACGTTGAAAAGGTTCTAGTGTCTTTGCATACTCCACAAAACCAGCGACACCTTCCACAAATTCAGGCCTCAACCACATTCGATCAAAATTAGTCATATAATACATCCAACTACGATCCATCTACACAAAAATCACAAATTTGAATTTGTTAAACATTAAATTAAGTTACAATTACAATCCTAGAAAAAAATTTGTAACATTCTACTTAAGCATTTACAATCCTAAAGTCATCATACTCTGCATCACTAAATAGTCATAACCTCTATATTTTAGTTTTACAAAAATTAGTTGTTCACTTATTTCAAACCAAAAGGAAAAAAGTCACTTTTTGTTTCTATTCTTGAACTTATTTTGTTTATCTATGCAAATCTTTATCTTTAGGAACTTATTTAAAAAGAGACGACAAAAAGTTAAGTTGCAATTATACACAATATCCAACAGTCAATTAAAGCTCATCTGACTAATTTTATCTCTAGTAAAGTATGTCATCAAATACAAAAAATAAAATTAATGGGTGTCTAAGAAAATCATGTGCGGCCCTGAAGTTTTTAGTTGGATAATCACAACTAAACAGACAAGTCAAAATTTAGCAAATTTGATTTTTCTTAAAAAATAAGATAACAAGAAGCTCAACAAACAGTAGAATATATGTATAAGTCAAGGAAAATAAAATTGTTCTTTCCAGTTAAATCCTAAAAACAATAAACAAAAACATAAGCTACAGTCCCATATATAATATTCTCACTAATTAGTGATATTGTCACAGTACATAAGACTCATTTGATTTTACTTTTTATTTTAGTTCAAAATAACTTATAAAGAAAATATAAGAAGAGAACAAGAAAAAATGTAAAAATAATAATTATTTTTTCCTATAAGAAATTCTATAGAATCTCATTCGTGGTACAAAAGCAACACTAGTGAAAACTACTTCACTAATTACTTTGTTTTGAAATTTTCCTACTATTGATGGTGAACCTTGATTCTCTCATTAACCAAACATAATCATTCTTGTGTATTGCACTTGTTGGATTACCCTCAAACAATTCAAAAGATCACTTTCTTATACATTTATTAGTATTGATTGTGTACTATTGGAAAGTAATTTTAGACTAGTTAATATAATTTAGATCCTTGAGAGTCTACACGCATAATCATATTGTCCTTTTATAATATTCTAAAAGACTAAATTTTGGGACCCTTAAGATTCGGAAGTGCCCTTACCCATCCTTTAAACCATCTCGAAATCAGTTGAGTTGCACCTACTGCAGCTATAGTAGTAAATTATATAATGATTTAATAGGGGGGAAACAAAACAACATTTAATGACATGAAGCAAATATATACATCATCTATACTCAGAATTTATCAAATCTTTTTATATTTGAATCTGCAATCATTCTCTGAACTAAAATTATGCACATTGCTTCTATCCTACCACTCCTCTTCTTCCTTAAACTCGAGCTAAGAAGAGTATTTCACATGTGTTAATATTCACATTGTAAGTCTACACTTTTCTGTTTCTTGTATAACTCAAGGTGTAATATAATCAAAATCTTCATTAGAAGAACACATCGATCAACCACACTACATTCAAAATTAATTGTGATCTTTGAAGGTGTATCATAATTAGACTATACACCAGCAATGAAACCCCATTCCACATACAATGTTACGACCGGGAAATCATTATGCTAAAGTTTTGATTGATTATCATCAAGAATTACACCTTAAATTAAAAAAATTAAAAGCTTCAAAATTACCTGTTAGAGTCTCCTCAAATCGATCACGGCAGTAACTAGGGCTTCAAAGACTGAGTGATCAGTTGCTGGAGGCTCAATCGATATGTAATTATGCAGCTACACAATCGTTGTGAAGAAAAGGGAGAAAGAGATGTGTGCTAAGTTAGGGTTAAGTGAAAGCAAATGTGGGAAAGAGATGGCTATGTTAATTGAAAAATAAATGCCTCTTATTTTAAATTTTATTTCCCTTTTTTAGTCAAACTTGGTCACTAATATTTATATTTAATATTATATATTTAAAATAAGAGACATCAAATTTGGTCAAAAGTATTTAAAATAAGAGACCTCATAAAGTCTCTTATTTTAAAATATTATTAACCAAATTTGACAAGTAAAAGGAAACCTCAGAAAGTTTTTAAATTTTATTTATTTATTTTCATAGTTATAGTAGCAGCCAAAATGAATTTTAAAATGAACGACCTATACTAATTTTTTTAGATATATATATCATCGACCTCATAAGGTCTCTTATTTAAAAAATAAAATTAAAAAAATTACAGATGCAAATAGTGACCTAATGAGGTCTCTTCTTAGCGACCTATATTTGACGTCTCAATGTTTAGGTCTCTTTTGTTAGTTTTTTTTAGTAGTGAATGTAATTGTCTGGTGAGATAAAAAAAGGTTGCGACAAAGTTGTCCTTTTACCTTCGCGACAGTGGCTTTTTTATCATTTGTAGTGAATCGATCGGTCATCATTGAATGCTTACAAGGACAAGCAGACTGGCATGCTTTTGGGACCACAACACAATTTTGAAGTTAAATTCGTACAAGACATTATGCATCAAGAAAGTGGTAGCTTGTCAGTATTAAAATATTTTTTCTTTGAATTACAAATGTATCTTTTTTGTTATTATACTTATATCCTTCATTTTTAAGGGGTTGTGGAATGTTTGTAGTTGTATTTGTTGAGTTCCTTAGTGATGACATCCTTATTCCAAAAATTGGTTTCTATCCAGAATACCTCTGTACACGATATGCAGCCCTACTATATAAATATCGTACTGAAAAGGCTCACGTAGGTTACATTAGTGAAAATGATCATCCAACAAGGCCAAAAAGTCATTTCACAACACCAACTCAACAAAATTTTGTCGATGTTGAATAGAGTTTATTTATCAATTGTTAGAAACTTTTTATAGTTTTATTATTTTTGAGATACATTAACTATAGTTTTAGTGTTTTTTGTTTTTATTGTTTTAAGGTATGTCTACTCCAGTATTAGAATGTTTCTCTAAACAGTTGTTTAATTTGACTCCAACTTTTAATATAATCAGTTCTTATTTACAATATAGATTGTCGTACATATTTGTCGTTTATAATTTGATAAAAAAATTTGGATAACTTTTATGTATGAGATTCATTAATTCAGTAACATATTATTTATTCTAGTTAGTTCTGGTAGGAGCTGATAGCTTGACACATAACTAATTCAATGTACCTTATAACTTCATCCCTAATTCAATTTGGTATTTACTTGATAACTCAGTTTTAGTTAGTTGCCTATTCATTCATGCTGATACAATTGATAATTTCGTGAAGCTAGTAGTTCGTTAATTAATTTATCCAATCACATTGATAACTCAATGTTACTCATTGTGATACATTAATCGATACACTTTATTCCATTTTACATACAAACATTCTTGACAACCTTATTGTATCAGATATATCATTTATTAATTTAGCCAAGCATACATTGTATATATGATACATCATACATACAAATGGATTTGATCTATATTGACTGGTACCATCCACACAAACACAATCTCCAATAAATTATTAACAAATGGATAAATGGTACATTATTTTTAAAGATAGATGAAAAATCATGTATTACAAAAATAAACACAATGTTGAAAATTTAACATTTCAAATTGTTGTATTGAAACTTCATGTGCTTATAGTATATTGTAATGTTATACATAGGTAAATGAGGAGAAATCAAAAAACCTGACAATATGTTATCTCAAAATAATGTATTTAATACATAATAGTATCTCCAAGAAAAAGGTTGGTCATTTTTTTTTAGAAAGAAAGTACAAGTTCTTCGATTGTGACCTTCTTGTACACAACGTCCACAATGATTGTGTTTTGATTATATTCTTCTTTTCCTTTGTTTTCCAGCTAGCTTTCTGCACCTAGGTGGAATGATGATTTCTTCCAAAACAAACTCTGGCATTGTCCAATCCTCCCTATCAAGCATTGAAACTATGGAAATTTCATACATGTTTGTAAATACAGTTGGTTTATTGTAATATGAGCAGTAAGAATGTATATCTAAAATTATTTTCTTCTTCAATACAACAATTATGTGTGCATCGTTAAGTTGAAGTCTCCTACAGTAATAAATTATTCTCTCAAAGTCAAACAATGTATCTTCGCCCACCTTCTTAAACTAAATAAATAAATTCACCTGCTTAAGTTAGAAAGTAAGAAATATATAACCATATCAATTAACTCAATTTCATACTCACATCAGCCATACAACAACCTACTACATATACATGATACTCTATATATTGATACATACTTTCATTTTTAACATTTAGAAGTGTTTAGAATCAATAATTCTTCAAATCTCCTCCCTAACGTTTCCTTGTTATAGGATGATGCAACACCCCATATCCAAAAAAGAACAAAATGTAGATTTTCAAAAGTTGCAGGTGCCAGCGACAGAGCCAACTATGGACCGTCAATCGACTCCGTCGATGGGCCAGTCAACTTTCACTCCTAAGTAGTGAACGACAGTCGATCGGTACGAACCATCAGTCAACTTACAGTCCGTCAGTCAAGTTTGTCGATTTGTCTGCTAACTCCCACTTCTCAATCGCAAATGATAGTCGACCAATACAAACCTTTAGTTGAATCCATTGATTGACCAGCTAACTCCCACTTCTCGACTGCGAATGACGGTCGATCAGTACGGACCATCAGTTGACTTATGATCCATCAGTGGAATCCGTTGATTTGCCAGCTGACTTTCAGTTCTCAGTCCCAAACGATGGTCGACTAGTACAGACCGTCAGTCAACTTACGGTTCGTCAATCAACTTTTTATGTGATTCATATAGCTTTTAAGTTAGGGGTCGTTTAGTATTTTCCTTGTTTTTTTGGCCCCTATGCTACGTCTTTTATACCCTAAATCATGAGGTTTTAGTCATTTTAAGCTTAGAAACATAACTAGAATTTAGCTAAATCAAAATCATTAATCTAAACATAGAAAATTATAAGCAAGGGAGAAGAAAAATGTCAAGAACTCTAGCTCAAGACCAAGCTTCCATCATGTCCAACCACGAAATCGAAAGATTTCTCCATGGAATTCGTCACCGGGTATATGGGATTTCACTAGTGGGTTTCTTTCACCCATTAGGTCCCTAGAATTCAGTCAGTTTCTTGTTTCCCTTATAATAAATAGACCTAGGGTTTCTAGAACTTCAGCAGATTATCATGAATTAGTTTGTTGTATGTTTCAAATCAAATTACCATGTTATTACTTAGTTTATTACATGAATTTTAGAGTCTTAGCTATGTATTTCTTTAGTTCTTGAATTACACATTCTAGGTCAGACATATGAGTCATTCAGTTATACATGGCTCAGTTATTAATGCATCATTATCAAATTAATTATTACATTCTCAGTTTGCATGTTCAGTTTTGATCTATCCAATATTACAGATGCTCACTCATAATGTGTTAATCACTTAATTCATTGGTAGTAGCATAGTACCGAGTTGGACTAGGGTTCAGCGTACCCGAATAGTCGAAGAACTACTATTAAGTACGTTGTAAGTCACCTATGTGGCCATTAGTTTAGTGATCACGCCAGCATGCCTCGATACCTTTGGCAGGGTATATTGGTCCCTCTCTATGGGGTGTATACATCGTACTCCACATTTATCTCATGTGGTTATATTATCGGTTATTAGTACCTCTTACTGTTCAATCAGACTCTATTGTATTGACCATATTTACAGTTCAGCCAGTATTCAGTCTCAGTAGGTTATAAGATTGGTCATTGCATCCAAAGAGATCGGCATTTAGTATATCATGTTCAGAATATTATACTTATTTTGTGCTTGTTCAGTTATGTATTATTTCATTGTTACTCTATCCTACATACCTAGTATCTTTCAAGTACTGACGCATATGTGTGCTACATCTTCTCGTGATGTAGGTTCAATTTCTCAATATCCAAATCACACTTAGATGAATTCATGGTCTCCAGTTCACGAGAATCAATGGTCACTACTCATTCTCTGAGGACAATAGGTATAAGATCATTTTAGTATTGTTAGTCTTTTATTTTCAGTTTTGCTAGACTTAGCTGGGGCATGTACTAATATTTCTCAATTAGAGGTTATTTTCAGACATAGTTAGTTTAAGCTTAGTATTGACTTAATATCTTCTTTATATTAAACTCATCAGTTTTCATATATCTAAATCATAGTATATAGATATTTCCCATCTTTAATTTTGATTATTATTTAGCTTTCGTATCAGTTTATATTCTTTAGTATGTTCATGATCATGTCAACAGGGTTATATTGAGAACACTTGTGGTCCTAGCTCCCGTGTTCGTATCTCAAGGGTAGCTCGGGTCATGACAAAGTTGAAAAGAGAGCACTAGGTTGAAGTGTCCTAGGATGTCCGAAAAGCCTCACTAAGTAGACCCTTTCATGGGTGTGAAGTGCACCACATCTAATGAGAATTAGGATACAAAGTGATTTAGGAAAATCCTCATTTTCTTGTTACTCTTATCGTGCATAAGGTATGATATAATTCCATTCTAACTCGACGTCCTACATTTCAAATTATGTCTCCTGGTAGAGCTAATGCCAGGAAAGCAAATAGGGTGACATGACGGTCCAAGAATATGGGATCAAGTTTAACCAACTCCAGGTATGCTCCTCACATGGTTGTTGAGTCTAAGTCTCAAATGAATAATCATGTGAAGTGAAGTTTCTAGCATATAATGTGCTATGAAAAGTTGTAAGTTTTCTGCTAAATTTACTATGACAATGCGATGAATGATAACTATGGGCTTGTATAAGACCTCAGAGAGGTCAAGTACATCATATGACTTGTAGGAGGTGCTCCCGGATATGACAGTGTCACCTATGAAGGGGGTGATGAGGTTTGGC